CTCCTTAAAAGAATCCAAGGACTTGGTTTCATCAACCATTTCTAGCACACTGTTTAAGAAAACTGATATGTAATATGGTTTAAAAAAATCTGTGGCAGTTTAGCATTACAAAAACACAGGGCAGTGAAGATTATCTTCTGGCAGATGTTAGAAGAAAGACATAATATGCTCTTTTCTTCCTTACTCATCTATATTTCTCTATGATAAAAGGGCCCAAAACTGAAGATTCAATTCTCCCAACATGCCTTTTTCTCTGCTTTGCAAAAGATAAAAATAAAAGTAAAAAAAAATTCTAAATACTTTAATGATGAGACTTCTAACATATTTGAAACAAATGACTACTGAATGAGTACCAATAGATTTCAAGCTGTGAAACAAAATGCTCATCTGGTTCCAAAGAGCAACAGCCTTGGAGGCCTCAGAGTTGAAGACAGAATGCAGACAGAAGTGTGCTAGAAAGAAGGCAGGAGGAATAGCATAGTTCTGGAGGTCAAAAAGGTTTCAACACAAAGACTCATTTGCACATTAACAGCTAATATAGAGTCTTCTCTTAAGCACAAAAGAACTGCTAAAATACATTTTGTATCCCCAGATTTGATTACAAGGAAGTAGAGAAGCCGTCAATAACTTTTAGTAGTCAGAGGAACCAAAAACCATTTGGATTTTCAGATAATGGCTTCTCCTAACCTGACTAGGAACTGCCAGTAAGGCTAAGTGAAATAAATTTTAGAGTTACAAAAGTTCAATTATCTTGAATTAGAGCTTACCATTACTTTTCTTAAAGCGATTTTTTAGTAACTGTAGCAATTATTCAGAGCAACCTGTAAGATGCTGGATAATTACCATTCCAAAAATAAGTAAACCCCAGATTTGTGAGCTTCTCAAAGAACTCTATATACCACATAAAAAATAAGGCCTTGATAACAGTCATTTATCTTTATCAGGGTTGCTGACATTCACTTCTATTTTTAACCCACAGTTTAATTAAGAGCTATCTTGGTAATACTGATGAAATGATAAGTCAAGCAAGTTTTACTCAGACATGCATTAACACAGGCACTAACTTAATGGCTCCACCATCTATCCACACAACCACATGTTGCTTAGAAGAATGTGCACTTGTCTACTGAATCATAGCTTCAGCATTTCTGGAGCTTTGGCAGGTCATTTTTGGAGTCTGATTTTTTTAAAACTTCTGAAAGTAAGTTACCAAAAGTAAATTCAACTGAACTTATGTAATTTAGCAACTAGGCTTTAAATGGCTGCAAAGAATGATATTTTAAATAAAACAATACTTGAGTAATGTTTTTTTCTCAATTTACAAAAAAGGGAAAAATTATGACTAAGCCATTAGAAAGTCACCTAGAAAAATGACAAAAGTTCATTTTAAAGCCAACTGTTTATGAGTATCTCCAGTTCACATTGTTCAATTACTACTTGATTATGAGACAATATGTATTGAGAGCTGAAAGACTTAGACACACCTCATCCTCCATGCTCTACCTGATGGAACAGAGATGGAACTTTCAAATATTTTCTTAGTTTCACCTTTCTTTTTGCCAAGTGCTGCAGGCTATCACACAACTTTCACCAGCCATGAGAACTGATACCTCACGCAGCAGACCCTATTTGCATCTTTGGAATACTCCCTCTGTACAGCCAAAATCAGTGTAAGTTACTGTGCTAATCTGCCCAAACTTCCCAGGACAGCCTGTGAATTCCACAAGGAACTATCAAGATTTGATGTAACTACAAGAGCAACCAAAATCAACTCAGAAATTAGTATGCTTTATTATTAGTAATGATATTATTTAGAGCATACAGTTGTGTTGTTGGAGAATAATTTCCCATTAGATCAAAAATTTATGTTTGAAGCAAATTTTCTAGAATGACATTTCAGTTTTAGCCATGAAAAGAAACTCACTTTCTTTTCTGTGGTAACGCAAAAAGAGGCAAAAAAACCCCAAAAAAACCCAACCCAAAACAAAGCAAAAACGAAACAAAAGACAAATCCAGCACTAAACCAGGATCAGGACACATCCTAAAGTCTCTTATTGGGATAAATGCCAAAGAGTAAATATTTCATGATATTATCTCATCTATTTAACTGTGAGACTAATATTTCATTAACCATTTAAATATATGAATGTATTAGGTTTGCAATGTGAGGTTTTGATAGTGGAGAGGGCTACACAGTGTTTTCTGAGAAACTCCTAGAAACTTCTCCAATGTGTATCCAACCAATGCCAGCCAAGGCCACCAGCAACGGGTGTAATGCCTCTGGGATAACATATTTAAGATGAGAAAAAGTTATTGCACAGGAGAAATTAAGGACAGAGAAAAAAGCAGTGAGAATATATGAGAGAAACAACTCTGCTGACTCCAAGGTTGGTGCAGAAGGAGGGGGAGGCAGTGCTGCAGGTGTCAGGGATCCACCTGCAGCCCATGGTGAGGCAGCTGTGCCCTGCAGCCAGAGGTCCATGGGGGAGCAGAGGTCCAGCTGCAGCCCACAGAGGATGCCACAGTAGAGCAGGTAGATCCCAAAGGCAGCTGTGACCCCACTGGAGCCTCATCTTGGAGCAGGATCTCAGCAACAACCTGTGGAGCTGTGGAGAGAAGGCCACTCTGGAACAGGTTTGCTGGCAGGTTTGTGAGCTGGTGGGGGATCCAGACTGGAATGGCCTGTCCCTGAAGGACTGTCTCCCTGAAGGACTTGTGAAAAGAACTTGGGTTGGAACAGTTAGTGAAGAATTGCAGACCTTGGGAAGAACACACATTGGAGAAGCCCATGGAGGACTGTCTCCTATGGGAGAGATGCCACACTGGAACAGGGGATGCAGTCCCCTCCATAAGGAATAAAGAGTGGCAGAGACAATCTGTGATGAACTGACCACAGCCCCTGTTCCCTCCTTCAGGGAGGTGGCAGAGAACCAAAAATAAAGCTAATCCAGGGAAAAAAAGAGGGAAGAGTGGGGAGCAGGTGTTCAGAAGATCTGGTTTTATTTCTCATTAACCTGTTCTGGTTTGATTGGTAATGAATTCTATTTATTTCACAAATTGAGTCTGTTTTGCCCATGATGGGAACTGGTGAGTGATATCTCCCTTTCCTTATCTCAATCCAGAAGCCTTTTGCTGTATTTTCTCTCCCCCTGTCCAGCTGAGGAGGGGAGTCATAAGAGTTGCTTTGGTGGGCATCTGGCATCCAGCCAGGGTCACTCACAATGAAGAATAACTTTTCTTCCAGGAAATAATATACAATAACCAAGACAATGTGTTTTCCTGAAGATAAATACTGACATCATAATCTACTATAAAGGCAAATACTAAATGCCACCAGTTATCTGCTGATCACTTCCCTGCTTATAGATCTCTTTGGAGTCTTTGGAATACTTCATGGAAGAAAAGGAGCTGCAGATTGCACTACTTGATGAAAACAAAAAAAGGTACTTAATATTTTTCTGGAGGATAGGGGAAACATTGGATCTTGCCAAATAGGTTTGACAGTTTGGGGAAACAAGAAATTAGCAACAAATTCAGAAGACTTCAGGAATTATGCGGAAGGATGGTGTATGCATGAGAAAAATCAATGATCTGGGATTGGATCCCAATCTCATCCCATGAAAGACAGTTTGATACATAGATGTTAATGTGCACACACACTGAGGCTTTGGTATGTACAGAATTACACTGAGTTATGTGCAATCACAGGCAGAAAACTATTAAAGTACACCAGGTGTATCTGTCTCCAAAAACGTGCAACAGAGCATTGCACAAAAAAGGCTTATCTGCATTTTCAATAACTTTAAAGTGGAAATGAGTTTCACATTTGGAAACCTGATGAAAGAACAATTAATGAATTTATTGTTTATATTGTTTTTCCTTGAGGCCTTGAGCTTGGAGCAGGCAAAATGATGTAACTGTTACCTATTTAATTTTCTAATCAAAGCTGGCTAGGTAAACCAAAATCATTAAAACAAATAAATTAACAGATAAACCATAATTTTCTACTTTTATGATAAACATCTGAGGTAAGGGTGGTGGCAGACCTAAATTCTGAGCTCTGGATTAGAACATGAGCTGTGATTGCAGGGCTGGATGAACTGGGCAGGAGAGCATGGAAAGCGATACTATCCCCTTATGACCTTTTTATTTTTGGCTGGAGAACTGATTTTCTTGGGTCACTAACTGTATTTAACCAACATCTTTGCTAAAACACAAACAGAGCTTTACCTCGAAGGCCCCTACATGTTTGGCGTCCTTCTTTTCCTTTTAATTAAAGACTAAAACAACACGATTTTAATAACAGATCCCGACTTAAACAGGAGGCTCGGCGAAGCCCAGCGGGACCGTCACGGTCCAGCACAGCCCCAGCAGCCCGGGCCGCCGCGGACGCGGGGCGCGCACCGCCCGAAGGGCTCCTGGGTGTTTAACGCGGCCGGGGAGGAGGGGAGAGGAGGGACCACCTCGGCAACTCAAACAAAGCGACCCGGAGCATGAGGCGCCGCGGGACCAGCGCTCACGGCGCTGCACAAAGCAAAGCCCAACTTTTGACCGGGCGAGCCTTCAGGGGAAGCCCGGCGAGCGGAGCCGACCCCGAGCCCCCACGGCTGCCCGCGGCCCCCGCAGCCCCGCGGGCTCCACTCGCCGCCCGCCCCGCCGCCGCTTCGGGCCCGCGCGCCCACCTTGGCTACCGAAGAGGCTCCACAGCTTGGCGAAGATTAGGCCCATGCCTAGGCTCGGCTTCCCGCCGAGCGCCCGGGGCACCCCGAGCTCACCCAGGCGGCAGCAGCGGCGCCGACTCTCCCGTCTCCCTCGCGGAGGCTCCGCAGCGGCCCCGGCAGCGCCGAGCGGGCGGGCGGGCACGGGCGGGGCGGGCACGCGGCGGGGCCCCGCCCCGCCAACGGCCGCACGGCCCCGCCCCCCCCGGCGCGGCCCGCGCGCGTCACTGCGGCGTCATGGCGGCGGCGGCAGCGTGTCAGAGGGGACAGGCGCGAGTTTTCCACCGGGGCTGGTGGAAAGCCGAGCGGTCTGCGGTCGGCACGCTCGGGAGAATGGATCCGCCCCGCAAGCGACGAATACTGCGAGGAGCGCTAGGCCCCCGCCGGCGTGGGGAGGCGCTGGCAGCGTGCCTTGGCCGGCCTTGTGTCGTGTCCTTTAGCCCGGCGGTGCTGTGGCCGGGCCACGGCCTCTGCCCTTGGGAATGGTTGAGGGTTTCAGGGCAGGCAGTGCTCCCGTGTACAGTAAAACTTGTGAAAGCAGCGGATTCGCTTTCAGGGCTGTGCTGCAGGTTCCTCTACTGAGCTTTTTCGTGGTGCCCACCCGGGTTTCCTCCCAAGCAGCACCTTGGGGAGGGTCGGGAAATGAGCACGAACCGGGCTCCGCCCTAGCGAGGGAGCCTGCGAGCACTTAGGTGCAGAAGCGGTGGAAGTACAAAGCCTGTTACACTCGGCAGAATTTCAGAAAACAAAAAAAAACGACAACCAACCAATCAAAAAAAAAAAAAAAAGGGCAAAAGGGCGGTGTCAGCAAGCAATGTCTTGTCCGATAAGCTCGTTGGCCCAGGGGCTCTGCTGCCACCTTCCCCATGCCGAGGTGCGGTGGGAGCACAGGGGCTGCCGCGGCGTGCCCGGCTCCCATGGTGACACCGGCAGCGGCACTTCCGGCTGCACCCGGAGGAGGCGGGCCCGGCGGCCCGGGCGGTAGGTGTGTATGTCGGGCTGTAGGTGTGTATGTCGGGCTGTAGGTGTGTGTGTCGGGCTGTAGGTGTGTGTGTCGGGCGGTGGGTGTGTGTCGGGCGGTGGGTCCGGGGCTGAGCGCCCTCCGGCACCTCCGTGTTCCGCCCTTCTCGTTGCGGCTCGGGTCCGGCCCGGGCCTGTGCGTGCCTCGGGGTCCAGCGGGACGAAGGCGGTGGCGCGTCCCGCCGGGGTGCGGCCGCCTGCCGGGTACCTCGGCTGAGGCGCAGGGCCTGAGGAGCTGCTCCTCCCCGCTCCCTGATGTTTTCAGTAGCGGGCGGGCGAGGGAATAAAGGAGGGAACACCATATTCCGCTCCCTGCCACAATGCCCTACTGTCGTTTTCCTCGTGTGGCAAAGGGTGGGCAGGGAGGTTTGAAAATCTTGCTCGGTATCTCTGGTGCTGGCTGCGTGTGACTGCTGGTAGCGTTCATGTGCGTAGCTGGATCACAGCTCTGGTCCGGCATCGCGTTCCCTGCTGCAGTTCCCCACAGAGGCACATAAAAATCTGTGAAAAAACAAGTAAAAATTATTTCTTCCAAAGCCCGTCATACCTTTTCTGGGACAAAGTGTACGGCACAGCAGGTCTGGAGAAAAAAACCTCAGGTACTACGAGCCTGCCTCCTGCTGAACGTTTGAAGTCTGACTCTTGTACTTGACGGGGCACTAGGCAGTCTCCCTCCTCAGCCTGCCTTCCTGCTGGATTTGAACTGAAAAGCACCTCCTGTCCCTTCTCAGCTCTGTTCCCCAGCCTGCAAGAGCGCCTTTGTAATGTAAATATTGAAGTCACACATAGCGCTTATAAACACCACATTTCTACATGTCTGCTTAATTATTTTCAGGATTCCAATTCTTTAAAAGATTTAGAATGGATTTTTTTTGAGGGCTGGTTTATTATGCTTCTGAAGAAAAACCTTTCCAAATGTGGGCCATATGGGGAGCTTTTTGTGGTTGGTTTGTTTGGGGTTTTTAGTTTTTTTTGTTTGTTTATTTATTTGGTTGGTTTTTTGTTTTTTAATTTTTGGGGTTTTTTGTGTAATGTAGGTGTTCTAGGACAAAAGACACATGATATGTCACGTTTTCTGAAATGTTAAATCTGAGCTTTGGTGATTTCAGTTGTATCAACTGTTAGGTTGTAGTACTATTGTACTACTATTAGTTTTTGTGGCAATAGCAGGGAAAATTCTTGGCATTTTGTTGGACTTTAAAAAGAAGCTAATTCAATTACAGTTTCTTTCTCTCAATAGCTGCTAATGTTGCCGAATAAGGCTTTGAAATTCCTACCCATGAAACTTTGCCATTGTCTGGTCTCAAAAGTAAGTCTAAATAAGGTCTCATTCTTTTATCATAAAGATTTGAATTAAATCAGAAATATTAAAAATAAAAAAAATATTCTTGAGGCATTTTGTATGATAAAAGAGACAAATAATCTCATATTCAAATAAAATGAATACATTCTGATCTCTCTTCTCTAAGTATATTTACTACAATGAAAATGTATTTCAATAGTCAGAATTCCTTATTATGAATGGAATAAACCTAAAGGGATGTTCTCTCTTTCCTTCCATTTAAGCTGTTGTAAGCAAATTTAAATGTTTAGGTAGTCTCATTTCAGGCTGAAGTGTATATAATTTTTCAAATTTTTTGAGGGGTGGGCAGATACCACTGGAAAGATAACTGTATTTTATTACCTACAGAGTAAAACGTTAAAGAGTAAAATCTCTGTCAGGACTGAGCTACAATAAGACTTTATAGCTGGACTTTTCAAGAGGAATTAAAGCTACATCTTGAAATTTCCTGTACCTTTTATCAACGTATATTTTTCACCAGATAACTTGAAGATTTATTTTAAGGATCAGTAGAATTTTTGTAATTGAGAGTAATGTTAGAGTCATATCCTGACCAATATTTGGAAATTTGAGTGCAATAAAATTGCATTGTTGAAATAGGAAGAATCAGAACCAACAACTTAATTTGTGGCTACATCTTATGCTAAATTTATAAACTTACAGAATGTAAGGATCACAAAGAAAATAATTTTGCTTATTTCAGTTTCTTGCCAGTGGATTTTAAAAACTAAAGAGAGATGTCCTTTTTCCCTAAAATCGTTTTCCAACATGAAGTTGAAGAGTATCTCACCAAAGTGTTCAGAAATAATGAGGTATGTGTGACATAGTTACCCCTAACCATCACAAAATAAGAAATTTTTCTGTAACTTTAATACCTTACAATAAAATATTGTCTTCACATTAAACACAGTGGTTTTTATATAAAATATTTCCATATTTAAAATAGAAAATTAGTGTTTATGCCCATTGGCTCAAAGTAGCATACAAATATTTAAATTAAATTGAGTATAAATCATAAAATTCAGTTTTGGATCCCACTGGAGAGTGGATCATAGATAATTAATCACATATTCACCACATAATATTGACAAGAAATACTCCCTTACCCCAGTGTAGAATACTACAAACAATCTTATTAATTCCTAATGCCAAGGATAAAAAAATTGGTTTTTATTGTACATACTTTTCAGTATCAAAGTTACTGATTCATAGATTTTAATTTAGTTTTCCATTTCCTTAGGGCTGGTCTATGTACAATAGCAGAGCTCTCTAGCAGTTGCTTTGATACTTGTTGCAAAATGCAGCGATTTTGCTGATACAGCTCTTTTTCCAATAAGTATTTTTCAGGAAATTTATGAGGCTTCCAGTGGAATTAGGCTTCCAGACATAGACATTTGTCACTATTGCACACCACACAACCATATCCCTCAATTTCTATGGAATGTTTAGTCAGTGGGGTTCCTTTGCATTGAGCAAGAGGTGTCTGTGTGAATCTCTTAATATAAAATCTCTTCTTTCACTTTCAGCTTATCACTGCTTTAGGTACACAGGAGGCAGAGAAAAAATACCAGTCTCTCTTAAGTCATCTATCTCATCCACCAGCTTTTACAACTGTAAGAGTAAATACCCACTTGGCCTCAGTGAAACATGTGAAAAAATTGCTGTTTGAAGAGATCCAGAAGGTTTGTGCAATTTTTTTTTTGTTTCAGCAGAATAGCAGGGTCTTTCATCTGAACATGAGACCTTTTCATTACTGGAAACTATACCTTACATCAGTGCATCCAGTGGTATTAACATTATACAGTCACACTCATGTCCTGCCAGCATTAAACATTAAATGAAAATTTATTGTGTACCAGTATCCCTCATCTCATCCCTTCAAGAAAGGCAATAACAGAGGGAAAAGACATCCAACTCTTTTTTGTATGGCAGATCCAAACCCTCAATAGGATGGAATAAATAATGTAAAGGTGTCATAAATCTGTAAGAGAAGATGACAGATAAAAAGGGAAGCTCAGTGTGCTGTCTTCAGCATGCTTAGAACACTTTTGTTTAAGACTAAAGGAGAATGCCTGTATATCTAGATATCATTGGAGAAACTGTTCAGGAAAGTGAAAAAATTGGTTTGTTTTGGAAACTGGAGCCACGGTGATGCTTTGCAGCCACTGTATTTTCTTTTTTAAAACCTGTTTTTAATCCCTATATATTTTTTTTTTACTTATCTTAATTAAGCATTTATTTATCTGATGATATGTAAATCATTATATTCAAGAAACATATTATTTTGAAATTGTGTCCTAGATCTTCACTCTGTCTAAAAAGATCTGGTTCTTTAAGTAGATTATTAATGCTAGTGGGTGTACAGGGAGCTTTTGCATGACAGGAGCCAAGACATTTCTTGGTGATGCAGAGGCAGTTGACAGTGTTCTGCTGGCTGGGATGGTAATGAGTTTTGCTAATTTTAGTTTGATTGTAGAAGTCTGGAAATGGATATTGCAGGGTTATATTTTGTTTCAAGGCAAAAAGCTTTGCTGAAAACTGATTTAATACCAGCTTTTCACAAACTTCTTGTATTTTAAAGTGTGATTACATGGTAGAAAAGGAAACCACATGACACTTTTGAACAGAAGTATGATCATGGATTGTTTCCTTTTTTAAGAGAAAATACTTATTTTTGGTTAAAACTGATTTATGGTTCTACATGCTTTAAGATTATATTCCAGAAGGCTCAGATGAGAAGACATAATTTTGTTTAAATCCTGGAAACTCTATAAAATGGCATTTTTTTTCAGCTAAATACGTAACTCAGCTATCAGTGCCCAAATTGGACTGACAAGAAAAATGAAAATTATTGCCAGCCTGGCCTATTAAGTAAGACAAGCAATACATGAGTAGAGTTAGACAGTGGCTTATAACTAATAACAGCTAAGAGTTAACACAGAATATACACAAGCTTCTAAGGTGGTGTCACTGTGTGTTCTGTGTTCTGACAAAAACTCAGCCTTCTTCCTGAAGAAAGCAAAAACCAGTGATAAAGTTATGAGTGTCAGAACACTCTCCCACTCCCTGAAGTCAGTTCTCAGTCAGTCTCTCTGTGGTCTTGTTAGTTCTGAATTTGTGGAATGCTTAGTCTTTTGCACCAGTACTTTTAATATATAATGCCTCCTTGCATACTATTTCCCAGCTGCTTTTAACTGTTTTCACTACTTTTGTGTTTTGTGCTCTACACCTAGAAATTATGAATGGAAAAATGGTTTTCAGTTTAAGTAAGTATGGAAATATTAAGTTTATTACTAGTGCTTACTAATTATATTTTTTAATGAAACAGCAATTTAAAGGACTATGTGTTCCAGTTCTCGAGCACCCAAAACTTCAGGACATTTTACTAATTCCTGTCATTGGACCCAGGTTTGTAATTTTCAGTCTTTAGCCTTAAAATGTTGTGTAACACAATTTTCTTACAGATTTCTTGTTAAACAGTTGTTACAACTAACTCTCTATAACTGAGGCACAACTTCATTTGTATTAAGACCTGGTGGACAGTCCATACACTAACCAGGTCAGAGTTTTACTCTTAAAAAGTGAAAGAAAACATAAAGCTTTATCTCCTTATTTATAAGACTAATGTTTTAGTGACATGTATGCATCCTCCCTGGAAAGCCAGGTAGGTGGCAGATAGAAAAGCCAAAATTTGCACTGGAATAAGGAACTATGGCTAAGTACGGGCAGGGTTTTCTTCCACTGGAAGAAATCAAGTGGAATCAAGAGTTACTCAGCAGTTGTTAAACACAAAGTCACATTACAATCATCTGGCATAGGAAAGAATAGAGGACTGTTTCTCAATCCCAGTATAATTTACTTGTGATTTACTTGTGTTCCTGTGTCAGGTTCATATAGTGGCAGAATGTGCCAGAATCTGCATTATTTTGAGGACTGGTTTCCTTCTTGACTCTTTCCTTTGATTTCTCTAGAAGTAAAATATTTTAAATGTAATACATGATAGTTAACCAGTTTTTCTTTATTAGATCTGACAAAATCCATATTTGTGAACTAGAGCTTACTTGGGGAGTATTTAGCTTTTTTTCAGTATACTTTTCTTTTTTACTCAACTGTATCTTGTATTTCTAGGCGAGATTTAAAAAAACATGCATCTGAAGTCATAGTTGGAGCCCAGTGTGGATATGCAGTACTTCGAGGAGCGCACGTTTATGTCCCTGGAATTGTATCCACCTCAAGATGTAAGAGTTCTCTAAATACACCCATCTAAGTTGTAAAGATGGCAGAAAAAGTGTCACCCTTGAATAAGAGATAAATAGTGATGCAAAACTGTTTTCTGTTCTCAGATGAAATTAATCTTACAGTTGTGGTTTATGGTAATGAGACTTTTTAAAGTTTTTCTGTTTTTTTTTTAAATATTTTCACTATTTTTCATTTTACATATAGTAAGTTATATGTAATCATTTCTCACTGGCCTGGCCTGTTTTAAATTCCTTTTTTCATATAATTCATAGCTGAAGTATTAGTTCTCAAGGATTTCATTTTCTTATTTTTCATTTCAAAATATTTTTAAAGAGAATTTTCAAAGTAAAACCTGTTTTTTAAGAGTGTTTTTTTACTACTGAATACTGTAACTTTTAATATGGATGTTAAATTGAATAAACTTACAAAAGTTGGCTGCTTAAAAAAAATGGGATACCACATCCGGATGGTGACTAGGTGTATCTGGATTATTTAATAGATACAGGTTATTTATTTCTTCACTCAGTCATAAAGCCACTTACCTTCATGGTTCTGTTAGATTTTAAGTTACAAATCAAAAAAACCCAGATTTTCTTTTTTTAATCCCTTGGCAAGTCATTTGTTTATGTAAGAGGGATGTAGTAAAAATCTCTTTTTCATTGATGAGAAGAAATTTATGTCAGTTTTTATGTCAGATTCTTAAGAAATGGAAATTATGCATCAATGCCTGTGAGACAGGATAAAAAAAGTCTACATATGCATGCTTTTTGTTCAGCAACCTATTTTTGTTCTTTAAATGTCAAATTAACTTTATGTAAAACCAGTATAATTGGATGATTCACCTTATTAGTCTATTGTGATGAGATCTAGTGATCATCTTGATTCTTATTATTAAACAAAATTAGTCAGAAAAGCATTTATCAAGTCACTTCATTTCCTTTCAGGAAAAAGCCTTTAAGAAGTTTTAAGCATGTGCTTAAGTTCAATTCACTGAACAGGAATGTTTTTCAATCTAGGGCTTGAAAATGAAATAAGTATATTGGCATAGCAGTTGTTGGAACTGCTTATTTACACAACCCCATAAATATTCAAATCCTTCTTTGAGTCAGCTAGTGATTTATCATAATTGCCACATGTAATTATGCATGTAACATCAATTCAAAGAAAATAAAGATACTATAAAACTTGTGGAACACTTCAGGGGAATTGCAGATAAGAAAATAAAATAAAAGGGCACACTACCCACTTGATGCCAAATATAATAAAGCTGTATTAAGTACAGATGGTCTAACTAGGGAAAAAAATAGTCCAGCAAGAACACATATTTAATCACTGAACTTGCAATCCAAATGAGGGTAAACTAATGATCAGGGGGCTTTGAGCTTAATTTAACTTATCACACTTTAACCTTTATGTTTATGGAATGCTACTATAATCTACAGAAAACTTAAGAACACTATGCAGGACTAGTGTATTTTGAAAGGATGATAGCAGAGAGTGAAATAAAATAATTTATGTTTGAATACTGCAAAAAACATTGACATATGCTTGATGGAAGAGTTAAATTGCTGCAGATTTTTGTTCAGTGAAGTTTAAGCAGACATTAATACTGAGCAATCACAATGTTTTGTGTCACATTGTGTGAAAATAAGTAGTGTAAAAAATAATTTTTCAATTGCTATGCAACGAATACTACAATTTGAGAATTTCATGGCATTTGGGCATAATCAGAAGGCCACCTGATAATGGGAAAAAGGATTCTATAGTACAATTCCAAGAATTCTTGGGAAGCTGAACTGCCATTAGTCTTGTTATATCTTCTTGTTCCTGCAGCCTGTCAGTCACCTCAGAAGTGCAGTTTTGGATTTTTTCTTTTTATTGCTATCAGAAGAGGCCTTTATTTTTAAGCATATTTTTCATCCAGTCAACACATAGCACTTGTTCACTATTATGTAAAGTCACCTAAACCGTCCCTTTTCTATTTTATTTTTCTAACTCAGAAAGTTTGTTAAGTCTGTAGGCTTACACTTCTAGAGTTTGGTATTTACACACTTTACTGATCTGGTCTGTTTTAATTGGAGATACAAAACTCTCTAAGAGGATTTTTGAGAACAGCAGTTCCCCTAAAGGGAAGAGAGCCAGACCAGAACAAGAATATATAATCACTTGTGTTAAAGCAATAAGTAGTTAGAGAAAAAGCAGTTATAGCTATGTTCTAGGTGGCTATTGAGAGGTCATTAGATAAATTTAGCACTCCTGCCTTTGTTCAGTAAGGGTGAGCAGTGTTGTTTCATGTACTTGTGTGCTTGGAGCAAACATGGAGGACTGGATCTAGAAGGTGTGCTTAAAACTTATGGGTGACCTCACCTTGATAAAATAAATAAAGTGCAGGTTTGTGTAGCCTCTTAGAAAACAAGACACAGTGCCTGACTTGCAGCTTGGTGTCTCTCAGTACCTCCAGTCTTTTGGTAGCTGTCATTCACTGTGTAAAACTTTAAAGCTTTATATCAGTTGATCTTCTCTCATTACATTTAAAAAATGTGAAGTTTGGTATGAGAGAAGAGTTGAAGTAAACAGTCTGCTGAAAATCCTAAGTGATTTGGTCACTACTGTTTTGTTAAATGCCTTAATGAATTCAAGTTTTCCATTTTTCTTTGTGCAGTTGTGAAAGCTGGAGATCTGGTTTCAGTGTATTCAGATATTGAAGGGAAATGCAAAAGAGGAGCCAAAGAATTCGATGGAGTTAAAGTTTTCCTTGGAAATGGAATTTCAGAACTCAGCCGCAGTGAAATCTTCAGTTCAAATGGCCAACTGAAGTAAGTCCATAGTAATTGCAATCTACTTGTAAAAATTTGCAAAGGGAAGGAAGAAAATGGGAAAACACTTTGAATTATTTTGTACCCTATGTGAAGTCACAAAATAGCTTTGCATGTTGGGATTTCCAGTGTTTTTTGGGAAGCCGTTAGTATTGGGATTCAGATACCAATTTACTTGCAAGGTAGGAGGAAATAAGTGGGGTCTTTAATAATTAATGTTTATTCAGTTCAGTAATATCAAACAGAGCTGACAAATGTTCCCACTCTGGCAAAATTGCATTTTGGTGAATTGTGTAGTACTACTTCCCTCTTTGGATGGAACAGAAGTAAAGCCTTATCAATTTCTCCATCTTTTAAAAATATCTGTAGGGGATTTTTTTTTTTTTTTTTGGTGGGACAAAGGACAAAACATAAGGTCAAAAAAAATTACTAACATTTGCCAAAGTAGTCACCTATTTCAAGATTACTTGTTCTTCTATTTTGTTGATGAAGGATATGGTTTATTCTTCTCGTGTTACCTAAAATACATGTAAAAGACTATGGATGTCAAATTAATGACCAAGGCTTTACTTCCTGAGAACAAACTACAAAAGTTCCAGTGAAAAAAAAAGTACATTGCCAGAGAATTTCTGATTTATGAGAGCTTAAATACAATAAAAATAGTGGTAGGATGCAGCTGTTGAGTTGGTGACATGGAACAGCAGTAGGTAACACTAAACCTGGTGTTTGCAAGTTTCCTTTCTCATATCCTTCCTTCTCATTGGACTGTCCAGTACATAGGCAAAATAATACTCTGTCTCTTTAGTACTTTTGTTTGTAGACTTGGTGTTGCTTTTTCATGGCTCTCTATTGTTATCCATTTCCTGGTACATTCGTTTAACAATTATATCTGTGTCAGAATTTCATCCATATTTAAAACTTCTAGGTGACTTCTGATTTCAAACCATAGCTTTGCAGGCAAATCAATGTTCCTGCAAGGCTTTTCACACAGGATTTCTGTAATAATTTGACTGAAACCTCTGGAATTTAGGAAATGGAGATAAATCTAACTAGGAAATCACATGCCACTGCCCTATTGGGTACACATGGCTAGCCAAAAGCAGTTATGGATTGAAGTTAAGGTATTTAGGTCCAGTTTTATGCATTTCTTTACAGTATCAAGGCTTGGATTACATCTTGGTTTATCCTGTGTACAGAACCAGAAATTTGCTTTATGCATTTTTACAGATAATTCCAACTTATCATGTAATGCATTTTTTGCCATGATTTACTCAACTTTGATGATGTTATTCCAGAGAATTTTTCTAAAATAATTTTTCTTGGTTGTTCTTTCATTCTTGTAAGATTGTTGTGTCAAGTTGCTATTTGTAAACATGATGGTTTTAATTGACTACTGTTAAAATGTATAAAACTGAGTATTTGAAATTTTTTCACACTTTTCAGGGGGCTGGGCGTAAGAATGATAGAGCCAGTCTACCTTAGTCCTTCATTTGACAATGTGCTTCCTAGTCATTTGTTTTTACAGGTATGTTTGTTCCAAAACCAAATGTCTGTACTATTTACAGAATAATGAATATTCTCTTAGCACACATTCATAGTTTCTACATTCCTTGTTCATTGTAGTACCTAATTCAGTCATTTGATTTGAGGAACACAAAGCATTTAAAATGAAGTCAGTATCTACATGTAGGTGGTTTAATCATACTGTGTCTGAGCTATGATAAGGGATTTCATAGCAACATAAGAGATATTGACTTAAAAACATAGAAATTCCTCTTGCAGATACTCTGCATAGAGCTATTAGTTTTTGGAATTTGCCTATGAACCCTGCAATATGAGCCCCTTTCAAGGTACATAATTCTGTAGATAATCAGGAAATTCTCCAAATATTAGGTCGATTTGAAGCTGTTATTTAAGTACTAAAGACAAATTTAAAAGGTTTTTATACCTTTGTGTTGAACTGAGAAGAAAGTATTTCCATATTGTCTAAGGTGCAGTATTGTGCACAATTATTGCACATTATTTCTCTTCAGTGCAGCTGTTCTGTTTGTACAATTAATAGCACAGTTCAGCTTCTTGCTACTTTAATTCAGCAAGCTTAGACTTCTGTGTTTTGATCTTACTGTTCTTTAGCTTCACCAGTATGTTAATACAGTAAATATTCCAGTAAACAGGTTAATATAAAGTATTTGTAATAAACAGAGCTGCTCCGCTCTGTGCCAGTATCAGCTTATTTTAGTTGGACTTTTAGCACTGTAGTGTCCATAGTCATGAGCTCTTAAACTTCAGTCAGATACTCAGACATAGCTTTAAATAAAAAATGAGCCACTGGAGACTTCTTATGTAAACTGTCTGTTATATATAATACAAACAGTTCATTTTCTGTCAAAAGAACTGAGAGCAATATCATAGGTATCTTCCCTGCTGAATGAATTATATTTTTAAATGCATTTGCCATTCCTTAATAAAGGAGTTGATGCAGGGTATCAAGTTTGAATTCTCCCATATTTGTTTTTATTATAGAATTTACCTTCGGTGGTTGTGAGCCATATTTTAAACCCTCAACCAGGAGAGAAAATTTTGGATATGTGTGCTGCACCTGGAGGAAAAACAACCCATCTTGCAGCACTAATGCATGATCAGGTAAGAGAAGTAATTTGGCATTTTCTAAGGAAGAAAGTCTGACCGCTGTTTATTTGCATAGCTCTCTTCACTTAACTATTAGAATGCACAGATAATTTACAGCAGCAAACAATTGATATTTTGACATTTTACTTACCAATGTATTTCGCTACACATCAGTTACTGAAATGGGCAACAGACAATCTTTATCAAGTATTAACCATCAGCTTTAAAAACTTATTTGCTACAGATTGATAGTTGAAATATATCTAATTTCACTTTCTAAAATGTTATTGAATTATTTTTAATCATAGAATTTTTTACATGCAAGGCATTGTTATGCAAGAATACACTGGATTCATGAAACTGAGATGCATAAAAATCAGGGGTTACAACTGTGTGCCAAAGAAACACACAACTCTCTACAAAAATTTACTAAAAAATTTCTAATCCAATTAGGATTTTCCTCAGTAAAAATTATCAATTCTGCATAGAGATAGGATTTTAGGCTGAATTTCCAGTCTGAATTTGTCATTCTATGGCAGAATGTCATAAAATCCAAAGCTGTCTAATGAGAAAGCAACAAAAATTAGAAGAAACAAAAAATATGTAGAAAAAGACAAAGGAGAGGAGAATGTAATAAAATAAGAATGTAAATACAGGATTACAGCTCTCTATATGTTGAAATGTTATGTGCACAGTGAAATACAGAAATGCAGGTTACTCTTCTTGAGCAGAGGGGAAAAGCATGTACAATTGCCTCTAAAATTTTGTAAGACTTTATTATTTTTGTTGAATTAGGTTTATTAGAATATATCAGATTGTTTAGAAGTCTTGCAGTTACATTATGCAGTACTTTGACAGGTGCCTGTGCATAAATGTGAAGGCATAGCGTGTAGTGGTATGAATGTATTGAGAAAAGGCTTGTATTCAGTTCTGTGATGGTTTGTCTGTGGAAATGTTTTTTCCATCAGTTTGGAACAATGGGAAGGCATTAATAATGCATTAGACAGACATTAGACATTATATATATTTAAAGCATCCAGTAGAAAATTTCACTGTGATAACTAAAGGAAGTCTGCAAATCATATATTTATGTCATGGATTCATTTACGTCTATATTTTTTTCCATCTGTGTATCTACATTTTGTATAACTTTGCAGAACTGCTTTGATTGTGCTTGCCTGCAGCTGATGTGGTAAAGATGAAGAACTCAGATGTTAAATATTTATCTCACTTGATTTTCATTTTCTGAGTATATAATTTTAATTTAAGATATGGAAGATAAAGGTATGGAAAAAAACCACTTATTTTTTAAGAATGGGGATTTTAAATTCCATTCACAGATTTTCCATACTAATTTTTTACAGACAACATATTAAACCACTAACATTTCAGAATATTTAAATCACTCTTACTTTTTTGTGATATAATTTTGACATTACTATATTGTTTTTAAATAATATAACCAAGATGTAAGATTGCTCTGTAACATTAAGAGCTCTTAAATAAGAATCAAGAATACTTAAAGCTTGAGAATTTATTATTATCTGCGTCCCAGTCTAGACCGCTGTTTTTTCAGATTACTTATAAGTAGTTGTTCTGGCAGTGGCTGGCATGGGCCAAATGGAGAAGAGTTGTGTTGTGCAGCTTGTTCTTTTCTTGGAGAAAAGAACAGAGAAGCTGTGAATAGCCCATCCCTGGATGTGTTCAAGGCCAGCTTGGATGGGGCTCTGAGCAACCTGCTCTATTGGAAGGTGTCTCTGCCCATGGTAGGTGGGTTGAACTAGATGGTCTTGAAGATCTCTTCCAACCCAAACCATTCTATGATTCTATTATCTCTTTATCCCTGCAGTATGCAGAGATGTGCACCAAATCCACTGTTCTTGCAAGAGATGAAACTTTGAAGCCCAGTCAGGTGCTAGAGTACACGTGCAATAAATTGAATGGTGCTAGGGGATGAGTAGGAGGTGCTTTGGCTCACAGCAGCTGAAGACTGGACACCATTGACACAACCTAAATCCATTCTTACCTCTCAGTCCTAGCTCTGCATATTGCCTAACACAACATACAGATAACAGCTTATCTTTACTGATTTTTTATTACTTCTTAAACTTAATTGTTTTACCCTTCTATAAGCCTCTAGAGAGCCATAACCAAATAGAAAAAACTTGTTGTTTTCTCAGCATATTGTGTTTGCTGTAGCAAGTCTAGTACAAGTTTTTGGTTGTTCGGTTGTTCTATTCTGGATTTTACTGATACTACTTTTACTTTCCTTTGTGTTCCCAGATTTCATGTTGCAGGTAGTGCTGTGTGTCTTTTTTGATTTATTTTGGGGGAGGAAAAAAGAAATCTTATTTTATACTATAGGAATTGTGTAATTGTGATTTCCCTCCCCTCACCTCTGAACTTATTCTAGTATTTACGCCATTTCCCAAAGTAACTTGAGTGACAATTACTGCAGGTATTCCAATATGTTATGAGTTTGACCAAGTCAGACCAATGGCTGTGGGCCCCATTTCCTCAGCTCTGAACTGTAGTGTGATCATATTTCTTACTCCCTCCATACAAATTTAAAATCTGTTGACCTATTTTACCAAGTATTTGAGGATTCTACCCTCATTCAAATGATTAAATTTTTATCTTAGTGCCCAGTTCAGCAGTCCAAAACAAACAAAAAGAAACAAACAACAAAACCACTTGCCAGAAGTCAGATATTACAGCATCCCTTAGAGTGACAGTCCCAAGCAGTCAGAATGTGCATGGCTTCAGACTATTGTGGCTATTGTGGAAAACACGTGGGAACAAGGACTGCAGGAGTGTGGATTTAAGAATAAAATAGTTCTGTAGGGAAGACTATGCTTTATTTATTACACTTCCCAGGATTGGGAAAGGAAATCAGAAACATCCATTTAATCATTATGCTTGTGATGAAAACTTTGGGATTTTTTTCAGGGTGAAGTTATAGCCATGGACAAGATAGCTAACAAGATCAAGAAAATCAAGCAGAATGCTGAATTGCTGCAGTTGAATTGCATTAAGGCCTTTTGCTATGATGGAACAAAGGCCCTTTCAGTAGAGAAGAGAGAGGATAAACAAGGTAAAATAAACAATTTGGGTAGTAGTAGCTTTTAAAAGAAAATAGTAATGTTTTGCAAAAACAGTATTAAACCTGTCACAGGTTTAAAAGTCCTTGAAATCTTGGCAGATACCAAAGTTGCCTCAGCACTGTGAATGCACTTTTATTTTCTACTCTTTTGTGATTATCAGCTTCTCTATGAAGCAAATAGAAAGTCAAATTATCTGTCCGTGTCACAACCTAATATTCTCAAAGGAAATGCATTCCTTTCCCAGATAATATCAAAGACTGAAGAAGCCTTAAAGCTTCTTTCACGATCACATTTAACCACATACTGGGAAGTTTATGAGTTAGTCTGAGAAAAAAATTATTTTTGCAGACTTGCTTCACTTCTCTGCCTCATAATCCTCATCAGTAAAATGGGTTTATTAATACCTAACTCCCAGGAGTGCTGCAAGGTTTAGTTCATTGATGTTTGTTCAGCTGTTCAAGGGAAAGTTATATACAAGCACAGTGTATTATTTTAAGTAATTTCATCTGCTTTTTTGAAGTGATGCAGTTATGATATTGGTTCTGTTCCCATGATGGAATGATTTAAATGGTATCTGCTGCCTTGATTATTTTTAGTTTGTTGTGCAAAGTATGCTGTTCTTTCTCAGTCTATTTTATCTCAGTCACTGGTTAGCCTAAGTAGGAATCAGATTACATAATTCACCTTCTTTGTCCCTATGCATTGCAGTTATTCCTGCTTTGGAGGAACAAAGGTACTTTCCTAAGAGTCTTTTTATGAACATCAAATATTGTAGGTGGCAAGTAGTAATTACAGAGATTAACAAGAGCAAGCTGTAATACTGAGAGATAATGAGGGCTTTTCTGTACATTCCTGCAAGTAACACATTACATATTTTGAACATTTTAGTAATGGATCAGAGGTAGATAAACCAGATAGACTCATTTTGTAGTCAGGGAAAAGCTAGGTAGCAGTAGTGTGATGATAATACAAGTTTGGCAGCAGTAGTACATGGTGATGCTGAGCCAATCTCCCTAGCACTGAGGAGACAGAATTTTCTGGACTGTTGAGCCATTGGGGTACAGATTAAAGGATAGGCTCTACATATGGAAGATACATATTGTCATCCAGGTAATAGTCAGAAAGTGTTCTCTTCACAATCCTTTTTTACTGAATTGTTCTGCCATGAGAATTTGCAGTAGTTCATGTTATTATGAAGTGCTTTATTTTATAAAGCTATGCATACATCACAAGAAATAGTTCCATAGACAGTCCAATTATTATAAGACAGTCTCAGTGATTAACTACAGATTTGTCTCAGTAAAGGTTTGCACACTTTTGAGCTGTGGCTCTTTACATCCTATATGCACAACTCTGTATCCAGCACTTTTGACCAATTGTATTTCAACTTTTTTGATTATTTTTACATGTTATTTTCAAATTACTAAATTAAGTTTAAAAAAATACTGCCTAGTGGGATCATTTTTGAGCTCACAGAACTTAAACTGTTCAGTTTTCTGGGAGATGAAAACTACCACCAGCTGAAGCTTGTCTCTAGCTGAGACTAGTTTTGCAGACACTGTTTATAGCACATAAATGTTTTATGTCAAGGAAGCAGTAACAGCTTCTCCTTACCTAAACTGGAGCCTCAAGGAAGGAAACAGGCCCATTTTACATTACTAACTGCTTTTTACAGAAGGACCTCCATTCTTACCAGAGTCATTTGATCGAATTCTTCTTGATGCTCCATGCAGTGGCATGGGACAGAGACCAAACATGGTTTATTCTTCAACTTTAAAGGAAGTGACCTCATATCAGCCACTACAGCGCAAGCTTTTCACTGTGGTATGTGTTAAACATTGAGTAATTGATAAGCTGAATTGAACACAAATGCTTTTGTAGCATAAAACTTACCCAAAAAGCAGTCCCTCATTTTCCCTACTTTTTCAGCAGCCAGGAAGTTTTAGGGTCCTGTTAACCTCTCAGCTCCACCAGATCTGTTGCTAGGTGAAGCCAGTTGATTGCAGCATGGTAAAGGTCTGTGTAATCCATAATAAATAAAAAGCTTTGTGTTCTTTTTAATTCCCTCAGTTTCATCAGTTTTACATGATAATAATTACAAAGGTCTAAGTCACAGAGCAGGTGACTTAGGAACATGCTAAGGAGTGTGCTTGGGCTGATGCTGAAGGATAAGATGAAACTTGTCAAAATCTGAATGATACATATTCAAAGTGAATGACAGCTTGAAAAGCAGCATAGATACAGCTTCCATGCCAAATACATGGAAACAGTTGACATCTAATATAAGTGACATAAGTCTTGTGTATCCATGGTTGGCAGCAGGTGGTGAAAACAGATCTAATCTGTCTGGGGTATGCAGAGCTGCACAAATAACAAATCTTACAAGGTGAATCATCTCAATGACATTAATAAACTGCATGAGTTATAATGCCTATTTGGAAAGAAGACTCTTTCTAATCCATGTTATCCTTTGCTGTATTCCCTGAGAAAATTATTATCTTAACAGTTTAAGTTTAATTAAGTGTTCAGTTTTAATATTCTAGGTGCATGGGTTATTAGTTAATGTTGCTTAATATGAAAGTTTGAAATTTAAAAATAAGCTGAAATATTGTTTATTTCTGCCTGCAGGCAGTGAAGTTGCTGAAGCCAGGAGGTGTTTTAGTATATAGTACATGTACAATTACACTTTCTGAAAATGAGGAGCAAGTTGCTTGGGCCCTGAAAACTTTTCCATGCCTCCAGCTTCATCCACAGGTAATACTATTTTCAGGATACTTCTCACAATCTAGTGATCTTAGTTTGGAACTGTAAAGTTACACAGTATATTTACTATCAATAAATCTTTTTTTCACCCTGGACAGCTGTAACAGCTGTGGATAGAAATAACAGAAGGATTTCTGAGGCTTTTTTAAAATCTGTTTTTGTGCTTAATTGAGCTTTATTTAGGCATCATTAAGTATTTTCCCACTCTGTATTATTTTAAAACACAACAGGGACAAAAGATAGGTTGAAAAGGTTAAAATTTCTCTTGCAATTTCTTTAATTTCTTTAATATTGTATTCTCTTCTCTTGCACATTCACAGGAGAGGTGAAGTTTTTTTTATTAATGCCACTGAAGTCTTGAAGACTTGCATATAATGTATGGGACATAAATGAAACTAAATTTTTGTTTCAAAGAAGGAGGATGTTATATGTATGGGACCTATTTTTGATTTATTTAAAAGGAATGAGAGAAAGAAATTATTTCAGGCTCAGTGTCCTAAGAATGTACCTTGTCTTTTTTGGAGTCAGTGCCTACTATTAAGATGTCTGGGAGGAGGTAAAATATATAGGGAGATACTAGAATGTTTTTATCTACACTAGCTACAGTTCATACAATTGAGAAATATCTGTTACCTTTTGTTGTACTTCAGGGGGGGTTTGTCATCAGATCACGTGTCCCACTTCCTCTTTGATGAGGAGTTGGGTGTGGTAGTTGTTTATCATCATGGCTTTGAGGAAAAGTCTGACTCTGATATCGGTTTTGCTTACACATTCTGTGATGACTTGTACCTGTCTTAAGAAGCTTAGATGAATCTTTAACTGAAATTAAAAAAAATACAATAGCTGTACAATGAGAAATTAATATGATGGCTGGTAAAGATTTAACAGAACTGAAGCTCTTCATCAAAGCTTTTTATGGTGTGTTCTTCTGTCTGTATTCTCACCATCCATTCACTAAGAATTTTTCAGTTCCAGACATTTCAACTGAGATTATACATTTAACCTAACTGCATGAAAAATCCACCTGGGTAGAATGGCAGAGCAAAACACAAGCCTTATTAATTCAAATGCAAGATTAATTCCTGCTGGATAAACTTTCTCTCACCAGTAATATCAGTCTTGAATAAAGCACTGTTTTTCACACACACATGCCATATCTGTAAAAATTAATCTTTTATGTATAATATATTTTAAACGAAATGACATTGAATTGTTTACCCACATATAATTTATAATACCTTATAACCAGTTCCCTACCAGTGTAAACTAAGGTGATATTTTCCAATGAACATGAAACAGGAGTCTACAGTCTACTTACCTCATGTTCCTTTAGGTACTTATTTCCCATATTCTTTAGTCTCAGTGGATGTCTCCTTTTTTATCCAGTCCACTGTTTCCCACTTTCTCAGTTTGGCAGCAGATCCTGGAAGCACATTGGGTAATGTGGGCAAGGAAAAAACAGGAGATGGAGCCATAAGCGTTGTTCTTGTAGGTGTAAGTTACCACATGGCAGCTGCTCCTTTGTGCAGACTTCCTCTTAGGAGTTTACACAGGAGATACTGTAGATCAACTTAAATGCAGTAACTTAACTGGAAGGAAAAATTAAAAGGTAGAGGAAGACACTGGTCTGCCTTTAACCAAGTTACCTGAACCTGTGGAATACTGTTTTCCCTAGACTTTCACCTTTCCTTCCTTCCTTCCATTACATCAAGTCGCTACCCTTGTCTCCCTTTGTATGTTACTTTTCTCTCAGTTTGCAGTAGACACCTGTGTTTGTCTTTTACCTTTCAATGGAAAAAGCCCTGAAATGCTGCTGAGGGAAAGGGAGAATGAGTGTGCAGCCCCTTGGCTGCCCAGCTCTCCAGCAGGCAGTACGTGGTTAAGCAGCTAACTGGCATCATGTGCTGACTGGGTGAGCTCATGTGTTAGCAAAGTGTGATGGCTGAAAAAACACTCTGCTGTAGGCTGCATTATGGACTACATTAGACTAGATTGACAAAGGAGATCTATTTTTGATATTGCAGTGCCAGCTTTTGCACACTTTGTTCCATCTCCTTACTGAATGCATTGAAAGAACAATCCAGCTAAGAATTATTCTTTTTCCAGGAATTAGGGTTTTAAATAGGAAGCAGTCAAGGCTATTCACAAGAAATATTGAGAAGAAGGATGGGATTTTTAAGTCCTTCTCCTCTCCAGGATTTTAAAGCCAAATGTTATCTCTTGAAATTGATTCTTTCTTTTTTTCTCTGCCTCACAGACATGCACATGTAACAGTAGTCCCATTTACCTGTTAGTCTTATTACATGACAAGAAACTCAAAAGTTATATTTTTCTGCTGCATCATCTCCCAAAAATGATGCCTCTTCAGGCAGTAAAATATTCTGGACTGGGGCTTTTAGTCTCTCCAATTGAAGTTTTTACTGTGAAGAATCCCATCTTTTTAGGTTGGATATCAGGAAGAAATTCTTCACAGAAAGGGTGATTGACTGAGTGTTGGAATGGGCTGCCCAGGAGGTGGTGGAGTCACAATCCCTGTGGGTATTTAAGGGAAGACTGGATTGCAGTTGGTGCCATGGTACAGTTGACAAGATGGTGTTAGGTCATAGATTGGACTTGATGATTTCCAAGGTCTTTTCCAGCCTAGCTGTCTCTGGAATTCTACTGCTGTTACTGATGATACTGGTAATGGGCTGAGGACTCACTGTTTTTGACTAACTCATAGCTGTTAAGTCAGTACACAGAAGTGCTGAATCATTTAGAAGTGGCAACCTAAACCCTTTAGACTGGCTAGCTGGTGGTAACAGCTTTCTTGGGATGTTTCAGCCCTTGGAGTAAGGAATTCTTTTAGACCTGTGCACCTATCCTCAAAAAGTGCTCTAAACTACAGAGATAAAGTTGACGAGTGGCATCACCACCTCCTCAAAATACTTGTAAATATCTTGTATTAATATTGTATATATGTTTGAATAATATTGGCCAGATGAAGGCAAGAAAAGAAGCCACATTGCTTCTGGATCTTCTGGTGTGAAGGATACAAGCACAGCTTGTCCATGTTAATTGTTCAGTAGCTCAGCAGAATACATTTAGGGCATTTAGAGCTGCAATAATTTGCTTTTCTTTGTTACTTGAACAGGAACCTCACATTGGAGGAGAAGGCATGAAGGGAGCTGGACTATCACTTGATCAGCTGAAGCTGCTCCAGAGATTTGATCCATCTGCTGTGACATTGCAAGGAATGGATATTAATTATTTGCAAGGTTCTAGAGAAGATGACCTGATTTCTTTGGCAAATAAAGACTGTATAGGATTTTTCATTGCAAAATTTATTAAATCAAACAGTAAATAAGGATTTGGGAATGCAACCTGAAAAAATACCTCAGTGAGTCTAAGAACAGTTCAGACGTGAAGTGCCTTTCTTCCTGCTGCAATGTTACCAAGCCAACGGGCTGACGGCAGGGTTGCTATGGCAGCACTAAAATCTGCCAGCTGTTCTGATGGGAAAGAGCCACAGGTTGCAGCAGAAAAGTCATGGCTGGGGGAAGGGCAGTATCATTTGTAAGTCTCCCTCTGCTTTTGTATTTACAGCAGGTCAGTGCCTGAATGACAACTATGTTCACTCATACTGCTGTCTGCTCTGGTTTCCCCGTATCTGGTGTGGCAAGCGGAGGAAGGGGATGTAAGCTACTCTACAAAATGCAAACATAAAAAAATAGATGGGAACTATTACAATGACTTTTGGAAAGGGGAGTTTCTATGGAGGTTTACCAGTAGTTAGTTTCCTTAAATAGTGCTTCTCAAAACACTGCAACATTTTACAAAGAACTGTTTTATAAATTGATACTTAGAACCTCATTTCTCTTTTATTTCAATACAAGCAAGATTCTCTGTACACATAGTATATACACAAAATACGATTAGGCTTTGTAGCATGTCTTTTATAGCAGCATGAATATATTAAACCATCTCACTCTGGGAATGTAAATAAATATTGTTTCAACATCAAACTTCCCATGCATAAACTGTATTGGTTCTGAAATAGCCTATTGGACTGGCTGACAAGTGACAGTTTTAAAATCAAACATTTGTAACAGAAGGGGCTACAGTTATGATTAATATATCAAAAGACAGAAAACTGCATAATACCATCTGAAATGTTGCAAATCACCTTTCAAACAACTAAGGATATTAACTCTTTATTGGTTAGAAAGCATCACCAGCTAAAATAATGAAAATTGAAACTGGGGAAGCATGCTAATGAAAACTGCCTTACTACATTGCTCAAAGTTCAAATAATCTGAATTTCTTAAAAGATGTTCGATGTATTTGATAATTCTGCTTCAGTTCCAGTTTGAACAGTATTCTCAGTCCTGCTGGAACTGACAATAGCACTAAAGAAGGAAAGCTAAGGACAAGAAAAAACAGAAACTGACATCTGTGTGTGTTTGGTGTTTTCCTCTCACTCGATCAATTTCCAGTTTTAAAAAGGATTATCTGAAAAAGTCTGTGTTTTCACACATAATTATTTGGTTGGATTAAAAAGAGCAATAGTTCTTTTATCATTTGTCTTTCTACTGTAAGAAATGCATTTTGTATTTGCTCACAATCAAAACCATCTATACAATTCTCTTTCTCGGTAGTCTGGTTGTTTACTTTTCTCATACATTTTCCATAAATGTTTTGATACTGTATGTTTTCTACTGCTCTTGAATAAAAACATTTCTTCTGACCTGCCAAGGTTGACAAGTCCATCCTCTGTAAGGCCTATCCTAGCAGGATGGGAAAATGGAATTCTTGTCTACTACTTCTCTACTTCTGTTGGTCATTCCTTGCCATTAAACACACCATGTCTAAAGAAAATTTAAAGTAATTTTGTTTCATCAGTAGTAGGTGAGATATCCTATTTAGAGTCATTTAAGTTCATATTATAATCTTTCTAGTCTAAATATGGTGAAAATGATTACCTGGGAACAAAAGGGACGAATCTTTTATTGTAGGAACGTGTTGAAATCTTTAACTCAGTGCTACTAAAAAAGCATTTTCTTTTTTGCAGATTATAGAAATTTTGTAAACATTAATCAGCACACATAAACTATATACTGAAGTCTGTATTCATACAAAGTAAGGAAGTTTACCTCCAGTTTCAGTAGCAGGATTTGTGCAATGCTGAATTTGAAAGAATTAAGATTGATGAATTTTTAGTGGAATATTTGTTGAGACGTCTCCCACTTCCTTTAGGTTTGGATGATTGGCATTTTAAGGAAGTGACCTCACTTGATATAGGAGAAGTTTCTTGGGGCTGGGAAGAAAATGTAACTAACTTTTAGTTAATTCCAGTGTAATTTGCAGAGCAGACTTCACCTGAAAAATGTACTGATATATGAACTTTAGCTATTAAGGTTTTTTCTGCAATATCAACTGGGAGCCTTAGAAGAGCACTCAGCATATGGAAGGGATTGGCCTGAGCTGTTTCCCAAGGGCCCTGTGCCTCTTGGGAACAGGGGAGTGACTTTGTCAGGCAGGTCAGAACAGAAACTCACTTAAGATGCACCAGCCCTTGAAGGAGCCAGCATCCTTTCTCTCACTACAGGTGTGGCCAAGTTAGATGACTAAAGTTGGATGGATGCCCTTTTTTTTTCTATTCCAATCCTACTGTGACTTCAGAAGTGGTAGGAATACTCTGTCATTGACAGTTCTGATGGATGGTGTATATGTGTTTTAAACATATCATATGATTACTTTACTGATAATCTTTACACACTGAATCATTGTGCTTCACCAGTTGATGCTGAAGCACAATAGAATATATTTATATATATTTTTAATATATATATATGAGATATTTATATATTAAATTTAAAAAGTTATTGTCATTATAATGAAAGATTAAACCTACAAAATAGATAGATTAGGCATGCAATCAGATCCTGTCGTTAAGAAAGTCTGAAAAGTAGTTTTCCCTGTTTGCACAAATAATGATTAGTAATAGTGCCAAATCTAAATATCTATCTTGGTCAGTAGAAAGATACTAAAATAGGCAGCCTCATATACTATGAAATTATAATAGAGCTTTTTCTTGTTTCAGTGTCATGGAATGCACCAGTTTTTTGGATCACTGGATTTCATATGCTTTTTAAGGAATGGGCTAGTGAGGGTGGTCAATCAAGAAATGACTTTAGAGTGGGTAGTTTAAAATATAAAGAACCTTGTTTTTATGTTTGATTGTTCATGAATAAGAAGTTTATATGAAAATCCAATTTGGTACTGCTAGAATTCATTGCCAAGTAGGTATGCATGATGGATAAAAGTGGCAAGAATAAAGGAAGAAATGAGAATATGGATGAGTTAAAAGAACCTGCTTAATCTCTATTATATCTGATATAAACCTTTTCTGGGGCTGCGTAGGAATACATTTCTAGGGTGGTAAGTTATAAAAAGAAACTGTCTATAAAACTACTGTAAGCTCATATGTAATAGTTTGTTATATAAAAGTGGGGAAATAAATTACAGACAAATTGCCAAGCAATAAAATTGATTGAATAACATTTGATTAAAAACATTCACAGTAAAAATGGCATCCACATATCTTACAGATGATAGAAGAACTAAGATTTTGGTGAAAGATCTGCAATAAAGTAATAAATATAAGTAAATGTACACCAGAAATGTTATATTACACTCTGAAAAATAATTTCTCTGTTTAGACTTTGTAATAAAGTTTTTGCAATATGCTCGATATTTATGGATGGAATAGAATGAAAGTCAAAAACTTTTGGAAAACAGCTTTCAGCCTGATATTTTAAAGCAATCAGAGGTCAAATGTAACCACTAATCAAAACACCTTTTGAAGAGGCTTTAGTAACTAACAAACACAGGAGGTGGTTTACACCAGCTCTTTTCCTTTGAACATCCACTGATTAAAAGCAGTCAGACCACTCACTTCATTCCAGCTGAGGGAATGATAATGGACCCCATTAAAACCTTTGCAGGTGTCCCAGAACGTGAGCATGACTTTACAAACCAACAGAGGTTAAAAATGGTAATTGCCAACAGATTCATAAAAGACAAAGTATTAAGGGGCAGTGTATTAGATCTGGGCAGGAGTTGCATGTATAGGATAAGTAACCAGGTATGCAGGGAGAAGTAAAAATGGGCCTCTCCCTTTATTCAGGGTTCAGTGAGTGCAACTTCATTTCCTTATCCTCCATTTATTATAAGGGCTATAGGTTAAGAGTATACAGATTTCTGTGAAAAGAGATGTTCCTCTGAAACTCTTTGTGGCTTTAAAACTGATCTTGTTAAATGGCTCCAGAGCCTTACGAGAAACTATGTATTTAATTTTATTCCTTGAGAAGCAAAAACTATGGATCTCTCTTCAAATTCTGAACTCTTGATGCCAGATACAGAATATAAATTCATGAGCATTCTAGAAGAATTCTTTAAATTCTAGGCAGTAATTTATAGATTAATTTAGTAAAAATAGTGTTTTCAGCATATAACTCGTACTGATGCTGCCTTTGTGAACAAACCTGTTTGCTTATTCTTCCCCACTGTCCTGTCCCTTAGCAGGTCTGGAGACTTTTACTGTCATCTCCTTCCAGTTCCTCTGGAAGAGAATTCTTTCTTGCATGACATCTGTGTGACACTAGAAAACTGGTAAAGGATAGACTTAGGCTACTCAGCACTGATGTACAGTCATTTGAAAAAACACATAAAAATAAGGTTAACATCTAACATATACATGCAGATCTTGAAATGCATCCCATTCCTTCCATATACTGAAATTCTTTAGAAAAATACAGAGTTGAGCTGCCCAGACTTACATATCACTTAATTATTTTATCTTCCTCCCTTTCCTTCTGTTTCACTGGTTTTATTATCTTTTTAGTTGTTTTGTACCACACATCCATAAGACTCTGGAGCTCACTGGGACCTCTACCATTTCTCAGATTCAAAACCCCTGAAACCAGATACAGAAGTATGAACTCATTAGTATCCTAATGCAACCAGTATTAAACCTTCTAATGGCAAAACTCTGCAAAGACATTTCATCACAATAATCTTTGATATGTCCTCCACTTGGAGTATTTTTAAAGCTTCTTATTGACATAACTCTGTTAAAGTGCTTTTCAAAGTAGTGCTCAGCAGGCAGGTGGTATTGTGCAATATATGTAGTACAAGCTCACATTACAAATGATTTGTCACTCTTAAAACAGAAACTGAAAAAAAGTATCTCAGCTAATAAAACCTATTCAGTGAGTCTGCCTAAGAAATACACGTGTTTGGTAGAATGTTGTCTATACATAAATAGCAGCACTATATAAAACACAATTCTATGAACCAGTTGGATTTGGATTTGTCTTTTTTTTTAATGTTTATACTCCATGAATCAATATATAGGCCATACTTAAATACTAGGGCTTGGACTATGCTCTTTATTTTCTCATTTATTTGTCTATACACAAACTGCCTATGCCATAGTTTTCATATACTACTCAGTGCTTTGAAATTCTGCCAAACATTCCTTAAAAAATACTTTAGGAAAGCTGAAAAATAAACACTCTCTGGAGCAAAAGTAAACAAACAAACAAAGCAAAAAACCCCACAACCAACCAAAAACCCAACAAAAAAAAGAACAAAATATTCAAGGTATTGAAGTGGAATCACTTCTTAGACGACATAGTTGTCATGAGTTGCAGGGAGCAACACCATTTACTGCAACTGGTAAATTAGCTAAAGCCAGGCTATACAGAGCAAGACAATATAATTTTCTTCTCACTTACATGTGATCTGATATGATTCAAACAACAGTCTTTTAATGTAATTTTTTACAGATACCCTGAAAATTCTCTTGTATCAAAAACCAGTTTATGTACTCTTCTATATCCATTTAGTAATACAACAGATCTACTTACCTATTCTTCCTTTCTCTACAAAGCCATTTAGTGATGTTTAGAAAATGATGAGAATTTTATTTCTAGAAAAATAACCTTTTTTCTTGTGTTCCCCGCAGTTCATGCTTTGAGCCAAAACCTACCCTTGAATAACCACAACAGTCAGCAGCACTGGGAGGAATGGCCAGATAACTGACAGCAGAATTTCCCACTCTTAGCTTGTTGTAAAAATGCTTATAAAGCACCAGGGAGAGGGGTAGGAGAGGAAGGGCAGAGAATGTTTAAGCGAGTTTCTTGGATGCTGGGCTAGGAGACTGGAGAAAGCATGCACCTGCCATATATCTTATCCATTTCACTAAAATGATATTCAAAATCAGGCAATGCTGATATTCCCAGAATTGAAATAATAAATAAAAAGAACTTCCAGCTAAACTAATTATTATCACACTACAGTCTTTATATAATGTGCTATTTACAGGGAAATACAAAAAGTATTTCATTAATACAAGTACTACAAAGACTACATGTGATGCAGAACAGCTTTTACACTAGGCAAGGGTATGGAACCTGGAGTCAAAAATAATAGAGAATTTCCCCCCACTTACCAGTGCAACAGGTGTTCAGTGCAAAACAAACTGTGTTCACTCCCTTCAATTTCAATGCATTTTCTCTAGAAAGCTCCTAACAGAGTCACAGTCATTTTTCTATGCTCTCATCAGCAGCACAACAGCTTTGGTGAAGGAAAAGCAGTGAGCTGGCTGCAGAGTGGGAATGCAGAGAATTGGCAAGTGTAGAAAAAGTGGAGAAGCTACAAAAATTTATTTTCCAACAAAATAACCCTCCACAAGCTGTGTAAACTTTTCTTACTAAAACAAATACTCTAAAACACAAAGATTTTACATTTCCAGTGAAACTCACAGTAACATTTGCCTGTTTTTACTCTCCTGAATCTCAACAAAGAGCCAGCAGATTTATGCTTACCCAATTACCTGGGTCAGTAAATTCCCGCATATTCCCTGAATGCAATTTGGATTTTTAAATTAAGAGACAGAATGTAGAAATAGACTTTTGGGGCTTTTGAGTAACTTATGTTTTCTTCAGTAGATTTTTACAGTTTGCTGCCTAACGTGCACACGCACACGAACGTCAATCCACCACCCACCCACTTACATACACACCTCCAACATGTGTGCTCTGTTTGCTGACAGTAGAACAAAAATTAAGCTGTGCCCATTGCAATATTGTGACCTGAACAGAGAAGAATAATTTGTAGTGGTAAGTTCATTACCTTTACCGTAACTTTAAAATGCAAAATTTGGTTTGCAAGGACAGCATAAGGTATAAGAGTTACACCCTTTATCTCAAGCACTCATCCATATTTACAATAAGTATAAGCTTTCTGCTACAGAAGAAAAAGTATTTAGATTGAACACTGTTACAGATTTCCTAAGTGAGGCTAGTTCCAGTTGCCAGTAATTCAAAAGCAAATCTGCTGACTTGGCATTAGGACTCTAAAACAGTGTGATCAAACTTATATAGTAAGAAGGTGTCTGCAGAAATAACATTTATAAACTGTATATACAGTACACAGTACCAATACATAGAAAATAGATTTTGACTCCATGATCCCCTGTGTGTAAGGCAAGACTGAATTCTGTCTTCATACGGAGACCACCAGAGGTACAAGCAACAGAGTGGTGCTTAAATCAATATGCAAAATCAAGTGCATACAAATTAAAAATCAGAGCAGACAAAAAGTTTTAGATTTTTTATGTGCTGATCCTGGCTTGCTGAATACATGGGAAGTTATTAGACATCAAATGTACCTTTTTTTTTTAAAAAACACTAACAACACCTTGATGGCAACAGATATTGTTCAAGTGGCAGCTACCAAAAACAGCTTGAAAAATGTCATAGTACAACATCAGGAACTCTTCAGTTGTACTACACTAATTCATATAGCACTAACCAAAAAAATAAGTATATGAATATTCTATTTCATGCTATTGCTATGCGAGCAACAGCAATACAAATCAGCATACAGAAGGATACCATATGTTCTGCAAAGAAGAACCCAAGATATTTTCAAGGGGCATTGTTACAAGACTTCAAAGAAACACAAGACTGCCAGAGGCAAAAGTTACTGACGGATGTAAACATCCCTGTTCCACTCTCCTGCATCGTTACGTTTTTTCGATATCACTTCCCCATCCTTGTCACAATATTGGTCCCTTGATTTATGGCGACTGCGCTGTTTGTTGCATTCATTGTGGTCCTGCTCGCGGTCCCTCTCCTTTGAGCGGTGCCGGGACTCTCTGTGTCTGTGTTCACTGATCCCACGGGACTCGTCTCTGTGATTATGATCCCTGTGAGAATCATAGTGGTCACCGTGCTCATGTGAGTAGTCCTCCTTTGGCTCTACGTAAGCTGAATCTCTGCTGTCTTGTGTTTCTGAGTCAAAAGTTTCCTGCCTGTGAAGGCCTCTGCCACCACTGCGATGGTTGTGGTGCTGGCTGGAGGAGGAGCGGTGCTGGGATTTCTTGGTGGGTTCGACCCGTGCTTCCTCCTCAATGTGGGAACTGCTGCGCTCAGGGACCGAATGGTCATTCCTCTGGTCTCCTTGAGATCCCTGCTACCAGAACCAGCAGTAAGGTCATGAGGTACACACACTGAAAAGCTTCCCCCAATATCAAATTCAACTAGAAAGTACCATGAAACCAATAAAATTTCAAGTACAGAACAATCCACTTTGAATCTAAACTAGGAAAGAAACCATTAGTATTCCACTTTTACTGAAAATTCAGTATTATAATACAAACAATTCTTTTTTCTCTCAACAGAATTTAGGGTGACACTTGGGTTATTCTGTGGCAATTTCTCATTTCTTGTGATGTTTCTGACTACTCCAGTTAGCAATCATTGTCACCACCCTCCAAAGAAAAAGAGAGCATGCAGAAACAGGACAAACTGCAGAAAAATTGAAAGGAGATATCATGCCAGGAGAGGGCATATATCAGTTGAGAGTTTACAGATGCGTGTCTGGCAACAGCTACTATGGGAAAGTGATTTTAAAGGGCTGAGGAGGTGGATTCCAGCAAAGAACCAAAGTACAAAACCTTGGCTCTTATAAAGGAACTTTTTTTTAAGGAAAAAAAATGCAATTGAATCTGGTATGAATAAAGTTTGTATTATGATACTAATAGTATCACTGACCTTCTGTTTTCTCAGCAATAATTTCATTTCTTCTTGGTAATGAAAAATTAAAAATTGACCTCATAATTTTAAGAGCTCGAGAATACAGCCCATTGCCAAGAAAAGCAGGAGGAGAGTGATATTATCACATAAAAAATTTCCTAACACACCACTGCTATTAAAAGACTGAAATAAAAATTACCAGGCAATAAACCTACTCTTCACCCGCATAAATGCTTTGAAATCACTGCAAAATGAACAAGTGGCATTATTTACCTCATTTGGGGATTTCATTACATTAACCTGCTTTTATTGCCAAGCTACAGCTAAGGACTTTTCAGGCTTAATTGCAAAAGTTTTAATAGTAATATTGAAATTGAATTATGCTTCTCACATTGGATGAAGAATGTCAAGACGAAATCATCTCTGCTGCCACAAAATTAATGTAGATTTTACCAGAGTTATCCAGGCATTTGTTTGTGAGACTGTTCTGAATACCAAAGTTAGTCTCAAGTTTGCCCTTCTATGTTCAGAGTTGTCTAAAAATAAGGATTGCCCCCAGGGCAGTTCATGGACATATCTTCTTTCTGTCTTTCTATTTTGTGGAAAAGAGCTAGGGGAAGGAGGAAATTTTGTCCTTCAGCCACAGATCCTGGCAGGTGGGTTTCCTAGCAACCCAAAAAGTAAAATCACAGGAAATTGAAAAGGAAAATAATCTGTATTTAATCAGAAACTTATAAAAAGCAGCATATTTCAAATCAGAAACTTGGTAAATTTGACAAATCCCAATTTTCTAAGACAACATTTTATTATGCAAACATCTGAGAGATGAGCTGGGTTTCTAATTCGAAACAAATGGCATAGATGAGAACAAGGTAACAGGAATAGCAGTCAAATTTCTTATTTGTTCTTGCTTTTGTGATTCTCAAGATGATTCTGATTTGCCAGAAGGGAATATAATAATTGTAAACATGAATAGATCTGTTCAAGGTGACATGAAATGACTCAACGGAGGTGAATTGTAAGTGAAATGAAGAGAAAAACAAGAGTCCAAAGCAGAAATATGCCTGCTTTGCATGTGTAAACACAACTTTCATCAGTTCATCACCATGACTGGCTTTAAGGCACATAAATATAGTACACATGTGAAACCCTATAGTTCTCACGGAGTCAAATGCAAGTACCTATACATAATTATGACTAATAAAACCTGTCAGTGCTGTGGTTTGAGAACAAATGCAAAATTTGAACCTGCAGTGGAAACACTGCTGCTCTTACAAGCTCAGATGCGTCTTCTGTGCTATGATGAGCACATGAAAAGAAACAATGATTAAATTTAGAACCAATAGCTGCAATTTCAGAATAGTGTTAGGGCTGTTGGGATTTATGGGCAAATTCATTGACAGTAACTTCCATTAAATATTACAGGGACGCTGAACAGGTAATGTCTGAATCTGGATTAGAGTCTGGCTTTTTGGTTCATAACCAAATTTGGGCTCTGATTTGGAATAGATTCTTCAGTGCAGGAATTTTATGGCCCAATTTCATAAGGTTTTTTGTCTAAAATAGAAAAAGTTTGAGATAATCCTATTTCAGTACTCAGTTTGTACTTTCAAAGAAGTAGGGGTTCTTGGAAATAAGTTTATACAGTGTTGAAAGAGGACAGAGAAGCCTTTGTCCACTGAGTGAATTTGCCTTGCTCCTTATTTCCAGTGGTCCTTGATCAGCTGCACCATATGTGTGTGAGGTGGCTCCAGACCTTTTGGAGTTATTTCCAACTATTTCCATACAATTTTGTTCTGAAGCTCCCCCTCAGATAGACATAAGGTCTTTGCCTATTTAATTTCAAACCGTCCCAGGACGCCTCACGCCTTCAAGCACCTCGTGCCATGCAATGCACACAGGCAGCTTCATGCTGTAAAAATGCCACTCTGGCAGCTGGCAACACAAATCCCTCCTCACAATCTACACTGGGGACTTAAAACCCACAAACCCAAAATATGTTTCATGGCAAAGGAGCACTGCATTGGCCCCAGGGGGGGATGACTCCAATGCTCTGCAGTGCGGTCATGGCTCCTCCAGACCAAACACCTGGTGGCTTTTCCCTGTAGAGCAGTCCATAAAAACCGCACAGGTATAGACTTTAAATTCTCTAAATACAGGGTCTTAACACTGTTGAAAGAATGGGTTCAGCCACCATCATTAAAAAACAGACCCACTCTGTGCTAAGGCAATGACGATCTCAGGTTTGAGATGTCAGCTGAAGATGTATCGTAGGAAAATGAAACCAAAGGAACAGAAAAGTCGTATGTTCAATTAGGGATCCCTGTTGATTCACACTGCTATACTAGTAGACCTACAAACAAACTTTGAAACTGCAAATGCATCCTCATTTTTAGTCCTTAAAATAAAAATCTGTTAGTTTGTAAGGAGACAGCACAGCATTCAGAAAAGTGTTATTAAAACTCTGCACAGTTCTTCCAGAGAATGTGGTTAATAGAATGAGTATGTGAGCTATAAATCCACACTCAAAAAGCATAAAAACACTTGAGCAAAATAATTTAGAAGTTTACAAAGCAAAGAAAGTTTATCTAGCAAGGCTGCACACAACAATACTGAATTTCATACTCAGAAATTCTTCCAGCTCACAATTTTTTCAAGGTGTTTCAGCTCTGAGGACAGAAAAAAAGGCAGAAATGAGCTATAGCTTACAGTCTCTTTTCCTGCAACTGTATCTGAAAGCATGAGAAGGAGATACCCTTCAAGATGGCTAAAGAAATTTTTCTTGTTAAAGAACAAACCTGTCTAGTCTGTGGTTTTCTAGTGAGAAATAAATTTTTTGACACAAAAACTTGTTTTGCACAACCATAAAAAAGGAGCACAACTATTTGCATTTTAACTTGGTTGCAGATACATTTTTTTCCTGTGATTTTCTAAGGGGAAGTGTTTTTCTTAGCCAAAGTTATGAATTATAACTTGCATATGTATGTAATTTATGGGCATATATTGAACTTAGGTAGAAATTTAGATGTAGTAATTTGATCTGGGACAGATCTATTTTATCCCCCCCGGTGTACTTCTCAGCCTCAAGGAGTCACTCACTACTTATAATGAAGGAGTGAAGTAGTTTGAACACTTCATTTCATATCATGCAACACATATCCAAAGGAAAACATCTCGTTATGCTGAACATCTCAATTAAATGATCCAAACCAAAAGTCAAAGGAGAAGAGAGGGGACATATTATGCCCATATCAACAGGCACATCAGTGCAAAGGCAGGAATAAAGCCTGCTTTTGCCAGCTCACTGGAGAGTGTGCTCACTGCTCAGAACACAGAGCCTCTCTCAAGGTCTTTCTGCACAATGTGGGACTTGGATTTGACATAAGACTTTGGCTTCAAGGAAGTCTGTACTTTTCACAGCAATGGCCAATAAATAAAAGAGCAAAGGAAACACTGGAAGGGCCACTTTGACCTTGAGTCTTTACTAATACAGTCAGTAATCCTCAGCCTCTACAACTCTACAGCCTGTGGGAAGATTGGCACAGATTTCCCTCAAACATTTGTGGATCTGCCCTGTACATAACTCAGTTTGTCATGCAGGGCCTTTGGGGCCAGGATTTGCCTATTAGCCATAGTGTGCCCATCAGTCAGGAAGTTACCAGAGGCTGGAATGTGCACAGTCTTAGTCTTGTTTTATTTCTCTGATTGGATTACACATGGCCAGCTATAAAAATGCTTGTGGCTGGTACACATATTACTGGCACAGCGGTGTCCTGGGCATAATAAAACCTGAAGTATTCAATTTCACATCAACATATGTTTTCAGTCAGGCCAGCTTAGTCCTTGGAATCAAAACCAGCCCCCTAGTCAATACACAACACATGCTACGATGAATACAATAGCAATAACAGTAACGTGCTTGCATTTGCCTTTTATCCTGCAAATGGGTGAATGTCTGCTGAAAAAGTTTTCAATCTACCAACAACAGGAAAACATATTCAGCATATTCTAGCATTAGCCTAACTCTGTCCTTTGGAAGGAGAAGAAGTTGACAGAAGAAAAAGAAGAGATGGCATAAAAACTGTACCTGTAGATTAATATTTGGACCCGGGCTAATAGGAAGAGTGGCTGTTGCAAGTGTGCGAGTGAGAAGCTGGTTAGGAGGATTGCTGCTAGGTGGATGTGTGGCCTTCCAGTAGGCTTCCAGATAGTCAGCAAGGTGCTCACAAGCATCTTCAAGCTGGTTCTCATCAAGAATTACATCGAACATTTCCTGATAAAGAAAAGGTTTTAGCGAGAATAATTACCAAGTAATGGGAGATCAGCTAGAGACATTGAATGTGTTTTCCATTAATCAAAAATGAATCATATTTTTAGTACTTGTATTAAGATATTTTATCTTTTTTTTTTTTTCTGAATACAGTTGATACAAAAGATGGTAATCATAACTAGCACTAATATTACACTTGCTAAAACAAGGCCTTGTGACTTCCACATAGTAATGCACAGTCAAAGAAGACAGGAAGAAGCAGCTTGAACAAATCTTAAATACACAGAAAGATGGGATAAATATTGCACAATTACCTATTGAAAAAATGGGATGGCAAGAAAGAGATTCAGTCCCCTTGTAGAATAACGAAGAGAAAACTAAGGTAAACTAAGACCAGTAACTAACAACCATAAGAATACAGATCATTCAGTTTCCAAGTGTCATACAAATATTAGGTAAGAGATTAATCACACAGTCTAATTTTAGTCTCCTAAAGTTAGGAGGTGAGTTTTATCCATTTCCTCCCTGGTCAGCGAGCAGAAGGCAGCTTTGAGGGCCTGTGCAGGTCTCCAGCATTCTTCATTGACTTCCTGGGGACCTAAGCATTGCTTAACTGAGATGCTTGAATTTAAAAGATGAAGACATTCCTTTCACTCAGTTCCATAACTATGGTATATTATATCTGCAACTGAACTGTACTCCCATCTTCTGGTTCCTAACCCATACTCTTGGCAGCTGAGTACAGAGGCAGAAATGCATGCCAGGTTTAAAACACAGTTGGGGTGTCATCACCTCCACTTTATAGGAGGAAATTGAGAGAATTTGCTTCAATGCACATCTGAAGAAGAACTGCAGAGCTGTCAGCTACGCAGTACCACTGAGCTCTTTGGCAAAACCCTGGCCAAGAACATTAGCAGTGGTAGGCCATGCTGATAGATGCCCCAGAGGAGCTCCAAATTACCAAAGGACAGTCACTAAGAGGGTTCATTTTTCAACCAATAACCCCCTAAAACTTAGCAAGCAAAGGAAATGTTCAGTTTACTGAAGCACTGACTGTACCAGCACAAATCTTAGCTGTGACTAGAACTCTTTTTCCCTTGCACCCTAAAGCTGAGCCCCGAGACCTCAGGAGGTTCTCTGCAAAAAGCAATAGTTAAATATGGCCAGAAGAGGGCAAACATTCCCGAAAATTATGTAATTAACCTCGTGCTTGAAAAGAAAGGCACCTTTCAGACACAAGACATAAATTAACAGTAACTCACAGGAGGACACTGTGCCAGTTTATCAGCTGCTACCATCTGAACATTAAGGTGTTTGGCCTGAGATTTCCCTCGAGATTTTATCAACCTCTGTAAAACCTGTGAAAAATAAGACATTAAAAAAAGTGAGCAGACTCAGACTTAATATACATGTATAACCACTTAAAATGTTTACACTTGAAACTGCTCACAAGAGCAGAGCAAATTCTTCATTTGCTGGCTTCGACAACATTTCCTATGTTCCCTCATCCAGAATGTGCTAATTTTCATTTACATACAAATATCTCCTTTCCTTTACAAGCACTAAAAAGTTCCACTCCGGCCTTTTTTCTGATGCTTCTGGTTTTGTTTTTTTTCTAAGTTGAATTTTTTAATTGATCTCCTGAGTGCTCTTTTCACAAATTCATCTTTCTCTTTCAAATGCCTCTTCACAAAGTCTGTGCATTTTTTATACACACTGAAAGAGTATATTATCAGATATTAAAATTTACCAATCAGTCTCTTACTCATTCAATGCAAATCATTCTTTCATTTCCATATTATTTTGATTTAACAAACCATGAGCACTACTTATGTGGTTGATACTGAAAGTGCAATTCCAACTAAAAAACTCATTGGAGCTACAACATCTTTTCCAAAATAGGTTTTGGCTAACACTAGAGCTCAGATACTTTTTTGATTATTAATGGTTCGCTATCCAAAGGGAAGCAATAAAAATCTATAGCTCTGAACCTAAATGAGGATGTGTGAATAGCTGCATTTAAGCCCCCCCAAAAAACCCCAACAACCCAAAAAACCAGAAAGAACATGAAGGTATCTAAAATATTTACCTTAGGAGAAGAAATCTTTACATATACTATAATGGGAGCCAGAGAGGTTTTGCTCAGTTGAGCTGGGTGATTAATGGTATCAGCATCAAGCACTACCAACTGCAGTGTCCTGGCCAATTCAAAGATCCGTTCAATTTCACTTTGAACTTCAGCTGCAAAGTAGAAAATTAGAGTTAGAGCAAATACTAAGAGGTGATTAGCTTTAAGAAATGTGAGAATATAGCAGACTGGTGTGTTGCTCCTTCTCTGGCTGCAGGAATTGCTGTTACCCGTGCACATCCCTGGCACAGCAGGGTAATGAGCACAGCGTTAATGAGGGAGTTTCACCCCCGCTTTGCTGCCCTTGCAGGCACTGCCTGCCTCCCTGCCTCACCAATTCCTGCTATTCCCGGCTGCAGAGATACTGATAACACCTTCTGACATGACCACAGACCATGTATTTAAGAAAAAGGGGTACAAATGCTTGCTGCTCAAACAGCAATATGCCACAAATCTGCTGCAGGTAAATAATATTAGCTCAGATTTCGCTCTTACCCAGTAACCAGCTTGCTCTAGCTGGAGTGCCTGAGATAGGCTTTAGGAAGTACTGATTACTGTACTAGTAGAAACCACGGTTTTCCCATTTACTTCAACTTATCAAAGCTTTGGAAAACAGGTTTTGTTCTACTGGCTTCAGTATGGTACCATGTTAAAAATTTGGCTATTATGTGTAAAACATTTTTATAAGAGAAAATAACTGAATAATCCACATAATGCTATGGTATCCTCCTAACAATCCCAGGAGCTGTGGAAAGCTGATTTTCCCCGAGGAAAATAATCTTTTCTTCTGGTAGTCATGCTCCCAGCTCCTCAGCACCCTGATTGGCAGTACTTTCCAGGGCAAACCTCTCCAAGACAGATGGGCTGCATCCGCTTTCACAAGTGGTGTAGAAACTGTCTTCCTTCCCCAGTGAAACAAAACTACATCTTATAATAGCAAAATCATCTTTAAAATGAAATCACATTTTCCTGCTCAGATCTTGCTATTGGCTGATTTCACAGAGGAATTAGAGAAGCTGGGTGATTTATGCAAGTCTATAAAGAAAGTCATTGGGCCAGATAAGATTAATTCATATAGGTTTCCCTTTAAAGGTTGTGCATGCTTCATGAACCAAAACCAGATTAGATATCTAGCCCATTCAAAGAAAATGTTAGAAGACAACCAATAGAGACTTAAAGGTCAAGAAGAGGTACCAAAAATTTAATAGAGAGATTCTTGAAATTACATTATCGGCCTTTTAGCTATTATGCTGGCAAAAGCTTAACTTTTGCTTGAAAACACAACCTACCTGATCTGGCTAGAGAGGGAGTTTTCTACACCAAATGGTCTCTTTCAAGAGATATGACAAGATTGATTTTTTCTATCATCTTAGAATAGCACCTGAATAAATCAGATACTATAAAAAGGTTGCCAAATTTCCAAGAGAGAGCAAGGCATCCCAGCTAGTATTTTGGTTCCAAATCAATAGGTGATTGCTATGGTCATTTTATAAACAAAGTAACATCTAAATGGTCATCAGAAAATCTATATATGATATCCTTTATTGGAGGAGGTGGACATTGGTTTGGATTAATTAGAGATCACTTCCAATTGTTTGTGATTATCTGCAGATCTGGGTGAGCACATACAATCAGTCTTTTACAGCAGTGAACATTGTGAGATGTGCACGGTGTGGTGTGGAAAACATCGATGCATGCTCTGCTGCCGGTCAATAAAAGCACTGTGGTCCAGCTGCTGTCTGAATTAGGACCACATTTTTTAAGACAGAACCTCTGATGGTTCTTGCCACATTCACAATTACACTTTCTACAACTTTGTTGCATAGAGATACTGCTGAAATCACTGAATACCACTGTCTTAGAGTTTTAGTAGAAGATAGTCAATAATCTATCCCTAATTTAAGTACAAATGACAACTAGAATAAACATATCAGAGATAATTTGTCATGCTGTTCTGATGATGAGTTTAGATTGCTTTCCTGCAATTTCAAACCAGCCTCAACACTTCAGTCAGTATAACAATATTAATTAATGTATCATTTTAAAACCATTCCAGACTACTAAAAAACTCTTGTTCAAGACAATTTATAACCAGCAAAATCTGTCTCTATGTCATTGTATCATAATTTGGTCTGGGGAAGCACTATTTTCTATACTGCTCGCAGCACTTTTCTGCCAGTAGAGAACACATCTCTGTGGACTAGATTTCCTGGTATACTTTTTGAAACACCCTCTGCCAGGGCAGAGTTTACCTCAGGGTATGTTCTATTGTGAAACACTCCCAGGGCAATAACTGCAGGTAACTATGGTCCTGTGAACCAATCATTTCCACCTAAGTCTGAAAAGGGAGAGAGATCTTTTTTGCCAATTAAAATGGATTTCAGTCCCTACTTTTCTTAACTTGGGTATAGGACAAAAGTTCAAGGAACTCCACTGCATGACTGGTGAACTAATACATGTGCCTCTACCTCTTCAGTCAGGAATGGATGGGGAAAATGCCACAGGCATAGCTGAAGAGGTCCTGATCTCCTGCTCCTTAGAGTACTTTTTCAGCTTCTGGAAAAACTTTCACTTTGCCTGAAATCTTCTTTGAATTCCAACTTTACAAGATTGTTGCAATTAATTACATAATATTAGCTCTCTTTTTAGATGACAAAGGCTTTATCCACTGCTACTGCTTTGGTTTTCATTTTTCTTTAGAAATATCTCAAAACCCAAATTCTCTACCTGTAAAAATTCCTTCTCAACAAGACATTCAACACGAATTATCTCTCAGACTTTTGCCCAAATTAAGCAAATAACTCAAAAAGTCATGTGGGGATAGTAACACAAATGTCACTGCTAGTTAAAATAGGGAGCTGAGAACAGTGACAGTAGGGTATCTTCAAAGCAGCACAGTAATAGCTTTGCAATTTTTCCACCTCCATGAATACCATCTATTTATAATAATGTCCCTTCTTATGTACTGGAGAGGCATAAGAGTGAAGTTAAAACACTAAACTCCAATAAATTGTATTTGCCAATCATAATGAGAGGGATAAAAATAATTAGAATTACTGTGACGATCATCATGAAATGCTGACAGCCCAGCTACAGCACTCAAACCCAGAAATCATCTACCAAATTTTAAAGTGACCCTTACAATCTATTTCATATGGTCTCCTTGGTAACCAAAAAGTGAACATGTTTTAAATGACAGGAGCACTCAACTATTTATTCCATACAATAGGGAGTCAGCTCTAAGAAACAGTTAAGTACACATCTCCCAGAGAACTTTGAACATAGCACATTTAAACTTACTTCCAAATCTTAATTATCTATATCACTACTGTGCCTTGAATAGAAATTCAATGCAATGAGAGGACAAGTAAATCACTTATCCCATTATGGGCACAGACAAATATTCTTCACACCAGTTGGACCTCACAAGTGAATTCCAGGAAAGAATCTTTCCCAGTTCACTACAATAATCTCACCTAAAATACAGACAAAGATACAACAACACTTTGTCAATTCCCTACTAACATGATGACCTGTGGTGGAACTTAGGGTCACTTATGTAATGCCATGGTACAGGAGCATTCTCTATGGTACACAGCTGGAGAAGCACAACCCTGCTGCAAACCCGGGCTCATCCACAGCAGCCAGGAGCCACCAGGACACAGCTTGACAGAGCAGTGGCTACACCAGCAATTTGTTTCAGCAAGACCCTGATGAAATAGCAGTTCCATGACAGGGACAAGATGCAAAATGGACACACATGTGGCCTGCAAAGGCCCAAGTGAAACACAAAATACTGTCAGAGGCAGCAAAGAAATTTTGATCTTCACAAGGAGCATTCACATACTCTCAACTGAGCACAGTAGGACTTTTATAGCCTATTAAATTTGACCTTGTCTCCCTGTCTGTGGTTTCTGTGGCTCTGTTTTGTTCATTGAAACAGATAGGAAAAATATGATTTCAACTTCAACAGGCACAGAGACAAATCATGGTTTTTTAAACAAGGCTGCTGATATTACAGACATATGGAATGAAAAGAACACAACTCTGTCAATGTATGCAATACAAAATGATTAGCCACACCTTACACAAATGGCTTTGAAATAATTTTATAAATTAAGGAGAATAGCTATCAGTAGCTGTAATTTTCTATGCTAATTCTTTTATACAAGCACGGTTACTTAAAAATAATTAACCACTAAACTCCATGACTATAACTAACATAATGAGAAGTTTAAGACAACCTCACGATTTCCATAACAAAGGTGAAAGAAAAAAAATGTAGTTTTTATTCCAGCGCCTTAAAACCACCTAGAAGGGCTTGTCTGAAAAAAAGGTGCTAAAGCAAATATCTAAAATCCAAGAAAATAAAAAAAAAATAGGAAGTGATAATTATTGAGCTGTGCTCGCACAAGTCTCTAATGAGAACAAAATTATGAGCTTGACTGACAGAATTAAAATTTTAAATTTTAATTTGTGAGTATGTCTCTAATGAGAACAAAATCATGAGCTTGACTGACAGAATTAAAATTTTAAATTTTAATTTGTGAGTATGTGTGCGTGTACACACGCTTCATATTGAGTGAAAAATCACCAGTGTCTCCATGGGGTCGTGCTGTAAGCAGAATTCAGGCCACAGCAGGCTACCCTGGCTGCTCCAGGGATCTGTGCTCCCTGGAAACAAGGCAATGAGGCCGAGATGCTACCAGGGTGATCCAATAAGCTACAAGGGGTTTGAGCACAGCAGAGCAAGCTAAGAAGAAGCCCCACAGGTATAAAAGTGTTTGGCCTCTTTCTTTTCATCTTCCTCTTTCCTCCTCTTTCCACCCCTCAAGGAGCAACGCAGCGAATGGGGGCCTGGGCTGGGCAGTCTCCATTGCTTTCCCTGGCAGGAAGCTTCAGTCCCACTCTCCAGGCAGGACTGCATGACCCACCTCACACTGTGGGGTGTCTCAGTGCTGGGAGCAGAATGCTTTGTGCCTCTGCTCCTGCATATCCAGCTAAGAAGGAAAAAAAATCTTGAAAAGCATAAGCCATAGGGAATAAATGCTTTAGCTTAGTCCTCGGGCAACTGGTCTAAAGATGCCTGGATTACAGGTGTTTTAATCAAATG